CAGTACTCAGAAAAATTAGCATATTCAGATGAGCAATGTGCTATATTTATCAGCCAATCAACATCACAGTCATCCATTGTTTGAAAAAATTAGCATATTCAGATGAGCAATGTGCTATATTTATCAGCCAATCAACATCACAGTCACACACTGACCATGGTAACAAAATCTAGGCAACATGTCCAGACTGTTAAGGAAAGGGACGAAGAAACCCACGAAAGAGGAAGCTGGCCAGGCCAGGACGTCACTTGAGATATGATAGGAATTTCACAGAAGTTGTTAAGACAGAGAAGAATATTTATATTCCATTTCAAGACAAATGTTTAAGCACTGGTACATAATATTCATAGAGTGCAATTCCAATTTTAAATATCCTCTTGACTTTGATCAATAAATAATTTATTAAGCAGCCAGTCTTATTTTGGTACCAAAATGCAGCTTTAAGGTAGGACAACCAGTTACCGTACTACACATGTTACTATGACAACATATATGCATTGTTGGCCTGAAGTCACATAAAGATGCAATAAACTTTTCTCCATATTTGACCGTGGATAAACAGCTTATTTGTTATCAAAAATGTTCTATAGCAATCATATTTTGTAAGCATCTGATCTAAATCGACTCTTATTCTTGGTAAATGTAAATGTATGGTGGAATGTTTACCTACATTTTTTTTTTAAATAAACTATAACTATGCACCAAATAAATTTGGACAAACGATAAATAACAAAAATAAATAAAAAAAAAACTTTATGGTACATCATTTTTAGAAAAATGTATTTTTATCTCATTTTCCTCTATGACTTACCGGAACCCTTTCAATGCCATAATTTTCTTGCCAAATTTTTGGTTCAACATTTTGCAAATTTGTACGTATTTCTATATAATTTTTGTTAGTTTTAAACCAAATGAAAATAAATGATTACAAAGTCTTGAACAAAATTTTAGAAAAAAAATGCTGCTTAATTTTGTAAAATGTGTTCAAGTTTTTAGTGTTGTTACAAATAGAATGACAGTGATGCATGAGTAGCATGTACATGTATATAGATACACGAGAAATAACACTTGCAACTTGAGCATGAATCAGGGTGTGAATAACAGAAGCAGCTGCTTCACTGTAATCTATTAAAAGTTATAGCTTTCACAGGTTGTTAGATTTGGTGAGACATTTTCACGTCTCATATGAGAAATTAACTGTAGATAAATATAAACTGTTCAGCAAATTACAAATTTGTGTTATTAATAATCGATAATAATTTATATGGCAAACCTTGTGTACTAATTGCATATGTATGGCTGATTAAAAAAGGGAGAACAGTATAAAAAATAAATCTCAGATCATGATAATTCCATTCCTAATCTCTTACACAGTAATCCTCAAATCAGTAGACAATTAAGTTTTACCGGATCAAAAATATAACCTATATTCTAAACATTTAATATACCGGTATAATTATTTTTATTTTTCAGTTAAATTTTTCACCATTATATCGATGTTCAGCATGATATTTTCCCCCAAAATATATTCAATAAATGTTGAATCGTTCAACTCATTACACGATTTGTACAATGGCAGAAAATTACATAATCTTTCCAAAATGGCCACCAGTTACATAACCATCTTTCAAACAACTGCAATAATGAAATATAAATTATGAACATATTTGACAGTTTTACCTTATGACAAGTATAAAGTAGTAAATATGAACGTTTTAAATCATTTATATATTATTCCAACTTGTTAATGTTGTTTTGTACAGATGTTGTCATGACAACTTCCACATACAGTGTGATACTTTCAAAGCGATCAGTTTTCAGTCAATAGAGGGCGCTGTCACGGAATATAGACATAAACTGACCAAGAGTGCCACTTTGATAACAGACAAATGTCTGTCATAGACACTGGATTAATGTGCCAGTGAGTGGAGAAGAGGCAGTTTTACTGGATCATATGACTAGGAAGTGAAATACATGGCTGCACACTGCACCATGCATGTTGTTTTTCAGTCTGCATATGATGTGCACGCCATGCATGTAGAAATTTAAAACAATTTAAACCAATATTATTGCTAAATACATAGATTTGTTGTTTTTAAAAGAAAAATTAAAGTCAAAATATGTGCCCACTGACTGCATCAGTCACTTATCCATGACTGCAGATACAGGACCGATACAATAGTCTATGTAATTTCATTGTGTTTGTGTTTTGATGACCTCCCATACAAGACCAAATAGTCCCAAAACAACACAATCACAAACGGATAATTGCTGAATAGTCTGATGAAAATGAATTAACAAATTTCCTCAATCATGTTTATAAACAATATTTGGCGCATTTTATCCCTGAGCTTGGTACAGGTAATTCTGAAAACTAACATACACACTGTGCATGCTGGGAAATTCCCTGATGACCAATATAAAAAAAACATACAGACAAGCATATTCAATAATTCACACTCGTTACCATAGAAACTGACTTGTCATGACTCAAACATAAATAATTTATTATAAATAGTAGATTTACCTATCCATTATGATGTCTTTTCCATGGTAACAGCACAAGTTATAAATTACCATTACAAAAATGTCATGAATAGCCATTATTGCAATTTACCATTCAGACTTAAAACCACTTGA